GAGCGGGCTCAGGTGGCCTCGTCGCCAGTGTAGTGAAGACGCATGGGTCCAGCCAAAGAACGTTTATTCGTAATTGGGAAGTCTTTTTATGGGCAGAGGGAGAGGGAAAAGATTGGCAAGAGAAAGAAAACACAACAACAGCGCACCGGCTTGTGCGCTGCGTATTTGCCGAGTCATTCGCTTCCTTGCAGGGACCACTGCATGAAGGACCACACACTATCATTTGAACGGATGGAGAAAAATTTAAAATTTCGAAGAATTGGTCCGGGGCACCCAATACAAGGCTTACAACTGTACGGTAACTGAAGCACGTACGGGAGCAATCACATTTCTTTCAGGAACAGACTCCGGTCCAAGCGTTTGCCGACGAACCGGCGGACTTCATCGACGAACCCATGGGCTTGGCCGATCAGCCCACAAGCCCAGGCGAGATAGAAGGAACTGCTTCACCCACTTATGTCAGTCATAGGCGTCGAACGTCGTCAATTTAGTTAGAAACTACAAAACAAAGTTCAAAATTCCGGGACATTGCGAGGACGCAATGTTAGGAGGTGCGGCCGTGTTAGGGGAGGAGACTAGCGCCACCTGGGTGCGTGCGAGAGGGAAAAAAGACGGTCGACAAAAGGTCGTCGCTATGGCTGCGAAAAGAAATCTTCGCACATTTTTTTTGTAATTTGCTTTGATCGTTAATAAAAGTTGTATTGTAAACGAAAATACTGCGTCAAGGAGGAAGTGGAAAGTCTAATACTAGATGACCCCAGAGCCAGTTACAGCAGTTCAGACGTCTGTCGTATTGACTTATCCTGGTGTACCATTTGCAAGGTCGCACCACGCTCTACTACACAGTTTAGACGCTTTTAGTAAACAATTCAGAGGAAGGAAAAAATCATCTACCCCCCTCCCCTCCCCTAGTTCGTTAATTCTTGGGACGTTTTATTGGCCTCTATCTTTTATTCTTTCATTAGCAAAACAGAAGTTTCCTGCGTAATTCAGAAAATAATCCTGGGTTCAGATCTTCGATGTGCTCGATACTTGATCAAGAATAAAAGCAGCTGTAGCTGGCTGCATCGAGTAACTGTTGGGAAAACGTTCAATCCTGCTATAACAGCGACACTGATTTCCGCGACGCCATTTATTGTATTTTGATTGTAGACTCGTATTTGTCCCGTTTCACACACACACAAACACACACACACATATATATAAATATATATACATATATATATATATATATATATATATATATATATATATATATATATACGGAAGAAAACGCACCTGAGACGGTTGTTGGAGTTTTTAAAACATATTATTGGTAAAGTTGGTCGACGTTTCGGCCTGAGACAGACCTTTTTCAAGACTGGTACATGAGAGGTCACACTGACGCTCCTTGACCACGTCACGTGGCGTTCCAAACATCTGGTTTCTCTCAAGAGTTGACGGTACCCCCCGACGCAGGCGTCCCCCCCCCCCCCCCCCCCCCCGCGTAAACCTGACCCTGGTGAAAGAACTCGCACCATGTCGGAAAATCTAACTGAAGCAAAGCGGTGGAGGAGGGAGGAGGAGGGGCAGCCCCAAGAACAGCAAACGGCAAGCTCTCGCCGAAAAAGAAAAAAAAAAAAAATCTTTTGAGAAAAATGCCCCGAGCGGTGTCCGAGCGGTGCACCAGCCGCCCCCTCTGTCCGTGAAAAAAACACACATCTACACATCCCCCCTTCACGTAATGAACTTCAAGACAGGGAAGACGAGGGGTGGTCCTGGACCTCCTCGCCGAAAAAAAACAAAAACGGTTGCAGTTTTTGAGGAAGCTTTCAGCAAGCGGTGCACGAGCGGTGTGCGAGCCGCCTCCTCAGTGCGTAAAAAAGCAACACACACAGGCATACATATCCCTTTTCTCACATAATAAACTTCAACGAGGGGAGGTTCTGGATTTTTAAACCGATATGACTGCTCAAGATGTGTTAACTGCGTGCATGGACGTCATTATTCCAGGGTGTTCATTAAGGTAGATTGCATGCATAGATGACATTATGCCGGGATCTTCATTAATATCTGCCCGGATTGAATTAAATTTGTTAATAAGATACGATTCTCTCCGCTCGCAACTGCTCAGTCAACAATATTATTAGAACTAACTCTATATGAAATAAATTGTGGGTGGCCTAAAGTCTTTGGAATGTGTACGCTCACGCTGAAACAGGAGGATCGTGAATGTTAACCGCGTGAATGGAAGACATAATGCCGGGATGTTTATTGATCGCGGCTTTGAACTTGTGAATAAGGTAAGATTCTTTCTGTTCGCGATCAGACAGAGACACCTTTCCGATTGCGGTTTAATAATCACAGATCACATGCAAAATCAAACCCCACACTTCCCGTTTCAAAGCATGTTAGCGATCCAAAACACTCATTTGATGAGCTCCAAGTCAGATTTTTACAGTCTGGTTTCAAAAGCAACCGAGATCGCGAACAGAAAGAATCTTACCTTATTCACAAGTTCAAAGCCGCGATCAATAAACATCCCGGCATTATGTCTTCCATTCACGCGGTTAACATTCACGATCCTCCTGTATCAGCGTGAGCGTACACATTCCAAAGACTTTAGGCCACCCACAATTTATTTCATATAGAGTTAGTTCTAATAATATTGTTGACTGAGCAGTTGCGAGCGGAGAGAATCGTATCTTATTAACAAATTTAATTCAATCCGGGCAGGTATTAATGAAGATCCCGGCATAATGTCATCTATGCATACAATCTACCTTAATGAACACCCTGGAATAATGACGTCCATGCACGCAGTTAACACATCTTGAGCAGTCATATCGGTTTAAAAATCCAGAACCTCCCCTCGTTAAAGTTTATTATGTGAGAAAAGGGATATGTATGCCTGTGTGTGTTGTTTTTTTACGCACTGAGGCGGCGGCTCGCACACCGCTCGTGCACCGCTTGGTGCAAGCTTCCTCAAAAACTGCAACCGTTTTTTTTTTTTCGGCGAGGAGGTCCAGGACCACCCCTCGTCTTCCCTGTCTTGAAGTTCATTACGTGAAGGGGGGATGTGTAGATGTGTGTTTTTTTCACGGACAGAGGGGGCGGCTGGTGCACCGCTCGGACACCGCTCGGGGCATTTTTCTCAAAAGTTTTTTTTTTTTTTTTTCTTTTTCGGCGAGAGTTTGTCGTTTGCTGTTCTTGGGGCTGCCCCTCCTCCTCCCTCCTCCACCGCTTTGCTTCAGTTAGATTTTCCGACATGGTGCGAGTTCTTTCACCAGGGTCAGGTTTACGCGGGGGGGGGGGGGGACGCCTGCGTCGGGGGTACCGTCAACTCTTGAGAGAAACCAGGTGTTTGGAATGCCACGTGACGTGGTCAAGGAGCGTCAATGTGACCTCTCATGTGCCAGTCTTGAAAAAGGTCTGTCTCAGGCCGAAACGTCGACCAACTTTACCGATAATATGTTTTAAAAGCTCCAACAACCGTCTCAGGTGCGTTTTCTTCCGTATATACTTTTCGTCATCCTGCGCTTCGTTTTTCTCTCTCTCTCTCTCTCTCTCTATATATATATATATATATATATATAGGTTTCGCGACATTGTAACTCGTCAGTTGTCACGATGCATATTCGAATTTATTTTTATAAGTTTATATTCGATCCCACTTCATACAAGTTTATAAAGGATTCTATACCAGCAGCTGTGTATAGCCATTTACTACCCTTCATCTCAAAGGCTACTTCTTCCAATTCATTTTCTTGTTTTGTAGCCGTGTTTTGTGCACGTAAAAACTAGAATTTGATAATATCGGTACCTAACTTAAAGCAAAATCTGATCATATTAACGAAATATTGAATACTTTCTGGAATATGTAAATGCTTAATATCTCTACGCAACTCCTGGGTAAGAGTATATATTTCTTAATTTAGTCTATTAGAAGAATGTTAACACTAAAGCGCAATAAAAAAAAACTACCATACATGTGTGTTATCCTGTACAGTATGTATTACTATTTCTAGATTCATTTTTCTTCTGATTATTTATTGTTTGCTCATTTTACGTCACTTACCCATTTATAAGATTTTTATTAGAAATATATGAAAATAGTAAACACAGGATGGAAAGTTCGAACAACTTAGCAACTGATTTTTTTTTTTGAGAGGCAACATTACATTTTGTGTGGCGACCACAGTCCTGCCAGCAGGAGTAGGATAAACATTAAACAGCTGAAAACATGGGTTTCCACACACCGTAATACAAGTCGCCTATTCGTTGTTAATTGGATTTTCTAAACCCCGAGTTTTAACATATTTCAGGCGTATAACTGGTAGAATCTTGTGGTTAAGGGTAAAATATTGAAAATAGTCAACCTCAAGTTTTCACTTTTTTGGGCAATACGTCAATTATGATTGTATTTCTTATATTCAGTAGCAATATTTGATGAAACTAAATATTTCTTCTTTTTTTTTACAGTGCAATAAAGGTGTTGGATGTCTGCCACCATGCACTTGCGTCAGACAAACGAACCTTGACAGGTGGTTCTGTGCTTTCTTGGGGCGCTAACAGCTGACATTTGCTATTTTTTTCCCTAAATTCAAGCCTTCGGCGCCTAATAAAACGCATTTATGTAAAGCTTGAAATGTCTCTTGCTCAGAATCCCCAACTGATTCCCCTTAAACTGGGCTCTCGTATTACTAGAATTTGAATAATGTCCATTAAATATTGCGGACATTTCTTGCTAAATGTGGATACGCGCCCGACTACACATCTCACAGGAAAAGAAGACCAAGGAGCATGTGCTAAGAAGAAGATGAACAGAGGCTACCGGCGCGAGCAGAGCTAGTTGGAACCGTTGATCGATGCAACACCAACTTTCAAGAGCCCTCCATATGTCCAGACTGTAAATACGTTGTAAAAAACTATTTTGTAAACCGGAGTGTTCTAAATTATCGAATATTTTGGTGCCGAAACCCGGGACTCCAGCGACTATACGAGATCAGCGAACAACGAACATGGAGCGGCTCCAGACGAAAAGGTTGGTGACGCGAGCCGAAATTGAACATCTAAGCGAGGAGATCCAAGCGGCGGTGTCAATTGAGGACTTCAGGCCTCATCACGAAGAAAGCCTCGCAGAAATAACGGACGAGCTGGATGCCCTGGCAAGGGAACTCAAGGAGCAAGATGCGCTCATCGAGGTCCACGTAAAGAGCGGGAACCTCGCCGAAGAATACAGGGCCGTCAGGGAGACACAAAGTGTGAGCACCGGAACGCGGACACGTCTTCGACGCCTAGAGACAAGGACATAGTCATCTATCGAGAGCACGGTCACCGAGACCACAGAACGATCGACCACTCAAACCCAGAGCCGAGCTGGACAGCTTAAACTTCCAAAGCTTGAACTCCAATGGTTTGATGGAGAGAAGTTGAATGGGGCTTCCCTTCCGGGAGCAGTTCCGAAAGGCGATCCACGACAACATCGAGCTCTCCGGCGTGGAGAAGTTTCTATACCTGCGGACGGTGCTGACGGGCAACGCGCCGGCGGCGGTAAGCGGCATTCAAGCAACGGAGAGCAGCTACGCTTATGCCATGGAGCTTCTAAAAGAGAGATTTGGCAAGAAAGACGTCCTTGTTCAAGAACACCCCACGCAGCTGCTGAACCTGCCAAAAGTGAAGGCGCTGAGTGACATCGGAGCCCTCCGTCGTTTACACGATCACGTTCATTGCAACATCGCTTCGCTGAGGACTTTGGGCATCGACTCTGACAGCTACGGGGCAATGCTGTGTGCTGCGTTGTTCTGCGTCCTGCCCGCTGACTGGGCCGTGGACTTCTACAAGAGTCACAGTACTAGTAATGAAACACCGGAAAGCTCAAATCTTGAGGCTGTCCTGCGATCGATGCGTGCAGAGCTGTATAGCAGAGAGAAGGTATACGACGGCAGTACACGGGACCAACCGCAACCTCTGAAAATACACAGCGACAGATATCGATCAAGCGATAACTTCCGAGGAAAGGGGTCTGCTGCTTCCGTTGCAGTTGGTGGCAAACCCTCAAACGACGGGTGCCCTTTTTGTTCCTCCGAATTACATGAAGTGCCGCAATGTAACTCTGCGATTCCGATCGAAGAAAAGAAGAGACGGCTAAGGAGCGAAGGGAGGTGTTACAGATGCACGAAGCGAGGACACACCTCAAAAGAATGCCGAAATCGGTTCCTTCGCTGCGACAAATGTGGCCGACGCCATATCACTTCACTTTGTGGTACGTCACCACCGTCTGATCAAGGAGCGACCGGCGCTACCGAGCTCCACTCCGTGGCGTCTTTGAATGCCATCAACAAGAACGCCGTAATGCTACAAACGGCTCAAGTATGGGTAGACGGACGAGACCGGAAGCGTCTTGCTTGCTGTCTGTTTGAAGGAGGCAGCCAACGTTCATTCGTCACCGAGCAGCTCTCACGAGAGCTGAGGTTGGAAGTGATCGGCGAGGAGGAGGTGACCATCTATTCGTTTGGCAGAACAGCCGGTGGAACTACGAGGAAACGTCGGCTAGTGCGACTTTTGTTGCGAAGCCAATACAGCCGCAAAGAACACTGCTTGGAAGCCCTTGAGATAGAAAACATCTGTTCTGACCAGTTTGTGCTTCCCGACAACGTGGTTGACCTTGCTGGCGTGGGAGAGCTACAATTAGCCGATGTAACCTTTTCACCCTTCCTTAATTCTAAGCGGAGCATTGAAATCCTAGTGAGGGCAGATCACTATTGGATTATGGTGACCGGGGAAGTCCGCAAGATACACGGATCCTTGGTCGCGCTCAAGACGGACTTTGGCTGGACACAGCAGGGCCCAGTTCCTCAGGTTGCTTCTGTGCTGTCCTGCACTACTGTGGCCGTCTTGAACACTGGCGTCGCAAAACCGACCTTGAGCCTCTCAAACGAACTTCGAGCCTTCTGGGAGTTGGAGAGCCTCGGAATCTCCGTGAACGACTCTCCGCGCGGAAAAGAGGAAGAACAAGTAAGAGAAGATTGCACTTCCTCCCTAGCTCTGGTCATGGGCCGTTATGAGGCAAACCTCCCGTGGAAGCCCGACTACACATCTCACAGGAAAAGAAGACCAAGGAGCATCTGCTAAGAAGAAGATGAAGAGAGGCTACCGGCGCCAGCAGAGCTAGTTGAAACAGTTGATCGATGGAACATTAACCTTCAAGAGCCCTCCATATGTCTAGACTGTAAATACGTTGTATAAAACTCTTTTGTAAACCGGAGTGATCTAAATTATCGAATAATGTCAAAGAAAATGAAAAGGAGTTATTTAGTCGTTAGCCGACCAAGACAATGTGCAGTGTGTGCAATATCTGAAGTGAGACATGAACGACGCTTCAACAGTTACCTTCCCAACCTATCAGACTTTCTAAAGTGAGGGGACATGTTTCACCAGCAGAAACTTGCAGAAATGGCGTAGTATTGACTTAAGGTTACGCCCACCACTAGTTTGTGAAAATAAACGAGATATGATGAACAACAGATCTATATCCTTGGAATAGTTTGAGCAAGTAAAAATCAAAGACGTGAATAAAATTGTTCCCACTTACAGAGGAAAGTTCAACATGCTGGTATCGCCCAGCCAGTGGCGAAATAACACGCCCTTTCAAAGATAATTTTGACGTGCTGCATGAAACATGTCAATGAAATATTAGTTTTACAATCCTTGTATTGTTATTCATGGGACTGGGAATCACTTTCAATTCCTGAAGAGAAACAATAAAAACTTAACATGTTCAACAGCCAGCGACACTAGAAGACTCGTAGAAATTATTTCATTGTGAATTTGCTTACCGATCTACACATTACCTTTCCACAAGTGAACGAGCTACCACAGAATTATTGGGCATAATAGAATCGTCGTATTAAAAGACAGAAGTCTTCCGAGTACCTCAAGTTTTATTTTAACTTAATGTGTTTCATAGATGCATCACAGGAGGGGATACATCTATGTAACAAACAAAAAAAAAAAGAGGCGCGCTGTCTTTTTATTTATTTATTTATTTATTTAAAAGAGCTAAAAAATCTATCGTGATGTATACTTCTTCATAAGTAAAAATAGTTTGATGATAATGACAAGGATTTCATGCCACATTCATGTGTGTAATAGACATATTGCTAATGAACGAGCTGAACGTGTTCACTTTTTCTCAGAACTCACACCTGCAAACAAATAACGTTTTGTGCATAAGTAGCACAGGGAATACCGAGGTCCAAATTAGAATTACCCACGAAAATACAATTTTGCTTACAAAGCTTTTTGTGTAAGCAAATTATTTTGTGGGTTTAGAACGTGAACAGGAAACGTGAACGTGAACAGGAATGAAAAGAAAACAACCAAAGGGATAGTGTTGTCAGTTAAATCGGTGAACGCTTTCTGTCGACAATGATGATTGACTTCATCTGGGATCGGGGCAATAGTAAACTCACAGGCTAGTGTATAAACAATGTGTCAATTAAATTTGATAAACTTGGTGTAATTTGTTCTTTTTCAAGGAATTGCTTCAAACAAGTCTTGTTACAAGAGAGTTTATAATAAATCCACAAGCGAGTGTATCACCAATTGTACTTGAATTCCCTCAGTAAACCGAATTTCTGCGACCTCTCAAAGCGCAGTACTTAAAAAGAGAGGGGCTGCCCCTAAAAATGAAATTTTAATGATATTCTGACATGCCTTGTCCTAAAGTTGGGATGATTGCTGAATTAAAGGTTATAGAGAATATTTCTTAGAATTTTGTCAAAATATTTGGAAAATTAGACGCTGGGTAAATACCATATATATTTATTCTCATCCATTAAATACCATAAAATCATGCGAAAATCGTTATTAAAATAGGTGGAATTTGTTATGATATTTTTGACAAGTAATAGTTATGTAAAGAACTCTCAGTACTTCAATACGCAGTTTACATACTGAGGAGTCGTCCTTTTTTTAAAGAAAATTGTGAGCCACCGCAATGCATAAGCGTCATAAGTCATGATACAAAACTTTACGGTTGAAGCCCTTCTTTTTTTAAAAGCAACGTTTTATGAGGTGGTGTTTATTTGCTCCGTGATTATTGAAGTACGTCTGCAGCTAGTATTTTATCGGCGCTCCTTTGATTGCACATCAGTAATCCTGAGTTGTGACGCGCTTTAATATAATATATTTGTCTTTGGGCTTTAACTCTTCTTTATCTGGTTGTTCGTTTAACAATCACCAGAGGAGTGGTATCCAGCAAGACAAGACAAAACGTACAGTTATCGAGACTGACCGGCAGACTTGTATGTAATCCGTTACAAGTAACAAAATTACTTCTAATCCCTTACATTTATCAGTAATTTAGTAATGAAATAATAACATATTTTCTAGAGTAATTTTGAAGTCATTCCCGTACATTTTTTACTTAACGGATTCCTTGTAATTCGTTACAATTTTTTCAGGACCACCCCCCCCTCCCTCTTTCGAAAAAAAAGATTGTTTTTATTTTGGTAAAGTCGAGCGCAGTGACACACTCATGCGAATTGACCAGCGCAAAGGGGGGCTTGGCGCTCTTCACTTCCTCAAAGCCTTTTTTTGCAACACGAAGCCCTTGAATCTATTTTTTTTGAACTCTAACAACAATGTCAGGAGATCCAAATGGACATTTCTACAAGGGGGGGGGGGGGGGGGGGGGCAAGCTATATCCGCTTTTTTAGCCCCTTTGTTTTGTTTTTACTTTGCGATAGAAGATGGGGAGGGGAGAACACCAAGTGATTGTGTGCCTCTTCGAGAACCTCGGAACTGTAAGTGCACAGACAAGATTTACCAATATCCTCCCCAATTATAGTGACTACGACCATTTTCATAATGTCAAAGCACGAGACAACGCTCTGTCTACCCTAAAAACCACCATAGGAGATGTGATAATATGTGAAGGTGTTATTGTCACAAGCATCCTCGTTCGTTGCTGCACACTTATCATGTTCTCTAAGAAAACAGGATGTATTTTTTTCTGTTCCTTTCACCATACTTTCCCCTACTTTAAAAGCTACTTACTTTTTTGTGGTCCAACTTCTAGGGTTTGATCCACTTTATTTGTGAATTCCAGCCAGGTTATCTGCATCTCAGTCATCCTTTTTGTGAGTCAGCTTTTTGCGAGCACTTCGAAAAAGGTAATGGTCTTCCTTTTTTCTTCTTCCTGTTTTTATCCCAGCAGGACGCATCTTATCTCAAGGAGATATTTTTTCAAATAAAACATAATAGTAGCTGACATAGACTTGATATTCTGTGCTTGAGGAGAGAGTGAAACTCGTCAGTGGGGCCATAGGGCGGCATACTTAGTACTCTGTCCTTCGCTGTCTCTGGCATCAGAAGACGCCTATCTGGAGAACACCGGAGTAAACTGCAGTCGGTCCGTATTTTGTGCGTTTTTGAACGGCACCAAGAAAGGTACACACGGCAATCATGCGTTTTCATTTCCTTGTTTTAACCGACGTTCTAATTAGTCCTTGTTATGAGTGTCCTAGTGTTTTTTTTTTCGATTAGTTTTATTTATACATTGGAAATTTTTTTCTCATTCATCAACGTCTCAACCGAGGCTAGCACTGTTCAGAACCAAAGGAAGGAGAACAGCGAGAGAAACGTCACTATTTATTTAATTAGTATCTTTTTGTTACAACTAAGTTTTGCTAGTGTCTGGCAATATATGCCGGTATAGTAACATGTACATAAATCAATTCTTATTCCAGTTTTGGCTAGATGTATAACGACTTCTACAGCTTCGCGATTTCGGCAATGGAGAATTTGAGTAGAACGGTCCGATGACTTTGATAACGGTACCCGATACTCCGCCGCCGCCTTTGCGCATGCATCATATCGTTATCGGGAGTATCGGAGGTATCGGAGCGATCTGCTAAAACTCGAATATCAGGCAACGGCTGCAACGACGAAGCTTTGGTCTATCTTCGAGGTAAATAGTACTTCCACCGCTTCGCTGGAAAAACTCAATGCAGAGCATAGAACATTCGTGGGGCAAAATATGGCGTTCGCATCCAGTGCCTCAATTCAAATGGTGTTGAGCGTAGCAATCGACATACTAAAGAGTTTTAGCTGATCTTTTTTTCGCCCCAATAGCGACACCCGATA